GTGTGTGTGTGTGTGTGTGTGTGTGTGTGTGCGCGCATGTGTCTGTGTGTGTGTGTGTCTTTCCTTCGAGCATGGCTCAGCACAAAGTTGAAATTTTAGAAAATGCTGTGATATTTGGATCATTTTGACGAAGGGCAAACCAGGAGTTAAAAGTGGCACTTTGGTTTGCTGAGTGCCATTTCAACAGTTCTACAGAGAGAAATTCCSTATTCATGAGAGAGTGACCTTTATAGCACACTGTCACTGCTCCCCTGCACCTGCAATGATTTATTGGCTCCCRAACGCTTGTCAGCTGGATGATGCAGAGGCGTTTATGCCCAGGGCAACACGTGACTGTCCCTCTGCAGCCTTTGACCTTCCCTTTCAGCGCAGCCGGCTTCATCAAGCGTGGAAAATGCACGCATAGACAACAAAATATGGTCAGATATGAAGTGGCTGCATTGTTGAAAGTCTTTTTTATTATTTGTGCATTTATGTAATGGTGAAAAGCAAGTTTGTGACAGATGAGAACATAAAAAACCCATCAGATTCTTTGTAGACTTTGTTTAGAATAGGGAACTGAAACTGATTTGATCTTATTGACAGAAAATGTCCCTTCTCTTCAGTTAGACTATTATTTTATCTTTAAGCAGAGACGTTTTGTCCATAAAGGACGCACGTTCTCACAAATACTGTTTGCTGGAGCGGTGGATGTGCTCACAGATCTGCGTGTTGAAGTGGAATCTTTTGATTAATACTGTGTGTTTGTGTGTGTGTGTGTGTGTGTGTTTTGGGAGTTAATGTGGTGTGGAGCAGTGCTGTATCTTTTATTCCATGGCTAACTGGCCTAACATGCACAAAGTGTTTTTGTAAGGATGAAGTCATTTTTAGCTTGTGTGTTTGTGGAATAAAAGATATGGTAAAATCTTTAAATCAGCCCTTTACTAACCAGAGATTCACAGAAATGCGATGACTTAAATAAGTGCTGATTTATAGTTTATTCAGAACTTGAGGCTTGTAATACTGCTGTAAATTCTTGATTCTTTTCCCATCTTGCTTGTGGTATGATTGTAATCCAAACACACAAACTGGGCAAAGTCAAACTATTTGCCTTAAAAATCTAATTTCCCAATAAATTCTGCTCATTTAGGTTTTCAGGTTCCATATCTTGCTCACTGTTTTGAGCCTGGTCTGAAATAAGAGATTTTGTTTTTATAGTAGTGGTTCTTGGAAAAGCCATCAGATGTAAAAAAAAAAAAAAAAAAAGTGTCCTAAATGATCCTGGTTTTAATGTACCTAAGTATAATTCACTTTAAAACAAACAAGATTGTGTTGGATTATCTAAATGAATATATCAAACAAAACTAACACCTCTTTTTTGTTGTTGTTTATTGTTTAGTCTGATCTCATCGAGGCGGTACTACTTTGAGATMCTTCACAAGCAGGATGACAAGGGTTCAGATCACGTGGAGGTTGGGGTAAGGTTTAAACTCTAAACTTTTTTTTCTGCTATTCCCCTGAGTTGTTATGTTTTGTTTGTTATCTTTTTTTTTTTTTTGTTTCCACCTGTCTGTGTACAAGAATGGTTTCATTGGTCTGGAGAAACTCAGTCCCCAAGGCAATAAAAGTTGAGTGTAGTTTGAACCCTGTACTCTGTGCTCATCCATGACAGGCTGGTGACGGAGCATGTGACAGTTGGAAGGAGAGGTGTAAAATGTGAAGCGTTTTAGTTCCTCCTGTCCGACACGGGTTGAATTTTTCTTCTTTTAGCTGAAGGTGTATTTGGACTCAGCTCTGTGCCAGAAATGTTAAACTTGTTTCTGATCTGATTTTACCTGCAAAAAGGMAGGTCATTTTCAGTCGTTGCCTATCCATTTCTATTTCTTCATCTGGCAGCAATATTTCCAAATATCTTTCTTGGTTCCCGTCATTTTTCCTTCACATCTTTTCATCCTTATGTTCTTTTTTTTCTAAGAAATGGCTAGATTCTGTTTTTTTGTCTGTTTGTTTGTCCTAGACATATCTATTTCTGTCAATGCATTATGGGAAACTATTGTGGAGTACAAGTTCCAGTCATCCTCATAAGAGGTAGGCCAGCTTTGGCTTTCCTG